AAAACTTAATACTCAAAACAAACCAATCAATAAATAGGCAAATAAACTAAAAAGATTTCTCAAAAGGAATCAACATCAATAGCAATTAGGGAAATGTAAGTCAAAACTACACTGAGATTTCATCTCACTTTAGTTAGAATAGCAGCCATCAAAATTATAAAAATAATAAAAGTTGGGGAAGATATAAAGAAAAAGGAACACTTTTACACTGTTGATGAGACTGTAACTTAGGACAACTACTAGGGAAACCAGTATAGAGGTTCCTCAAAGACTAGGAATGGAACCACCATATGACCCAGGTATACCACTACTTGGTATTTATCCTAAAGAATTAAAAACGGCATACTATAGTAATACATGCATATCATCACAGCAAAATTCACAATAGGCAAACTATGGAACCAGCCTAGGTGTCTGTCAATAGATAGATGGATAAAAAAAAAATGTAGTTCGTATGTATATAACAGAGATTTATTCATCCATAAGGAAGAATAAAGTTATCAGGAAAAATGTTTTGGAACTTGAGAAGATTATGTTAAGCCAAATATAAGCTAAACTCAGAAAGCCAATGGTCATATGCTTTCTCTTATATGTGGAAGAGAGAAAGAAAAAAGGGAGGAGGTATTTAATGAAAATCAAAGAGAAATTTTGAAAAACAGAAGAAAGGGACTAGCAGAAAAGAGAAGAGGGGAGCATAAGGAGAAATACTAGGGTAGTTGGCCAAATTATGTTTTTATATCAAGTGCATGTGTGAATAGGTAACAATGAATCTCATTACTTATAACACACCAATAAAAATATGGGGGAAATCTGTTATTTTATTTATTTATTCATTCTTTTACTCGAATTTATTATTTATATTATTTATTCTTTTACTCTTTTACACTGCCATACTTGGATGGTTTTTCAAAATCTACTTTTTGTTTAGAAAAGTTTTGGATTTTCAGAGGTGTTGTAAGAGGTACACAGAAGAGGATATAAACAGTTCTTGTGGGGCTGGGGTTGTAGCTCAATGGTAAAGCACTTGCCTAGCATATTTGAGATACTAGGTTCAATTTTCAGCACCGAAGTACATAAATAAAACAAAGGTCCATCAACAACTAAAAAAATTTTTTTAAAGAGTTATGTATCTGGGGGATAGTTCCCCTATTGACATCACTGAGGTTCAAGAGTTACTATAAATCAATCAATATGACTTTGTATACACCCAGAGATATGAAAAATTGTGTTCTATATGTATAATATGAATCGTAATGCATTCTGCTGTCACATATAACAAATTAGAATAAAAAATAAATTTAAAAAATGAGTCAATATGAATACATTATTTATAAAAGTCCATACTTTATTCAAATTTCCTTAGTGTTTGCCTGATGTTAGTTTTCAGCTCCAAGATACCACCCCAGATATACCCTCTATTTGGATGTCAGGTCTTCTTGGGCTTTTCTTGACTGTTTCTTAAAGTTATTTGGGGAGGACTTCACAATTTGGGGGAATATTAGCCAGGTATTTTGAGTAATGTTTCAGCATTAGGATTTGCTTTTAATTGGACTAGAGTTGTGGGTTTTGAGAAAAGGACCTCAGAAGTGAAGTACCATTTTCATTGCGTTATATAGGGGATACCCATCGTCAAATAACTTATCGATGACTCCCTCCTTTTTTTTGGTAATGAGGACTGAACCCAGGGGCACTTTTCCACTGAGATACATCCCAGTCCTTTTTATTCTGTTATTTTTGAGACTCACTAAAAGTTGATTAGGGCCTCACTAAGCCATTGAAGCTAGCCTCAAACTCAGGATCCTCCTCAGTCTCCCAAATGGCTGGAATTACAGGCAAGCACTATCACATCCAGTTCAAAAAAAAATTTTAACATTATTAAGGATCTTAAGATATTGACTCTTTTCAAGTAAAAAACATGAGATATCAACACCCTCTCCAAAAAAAGGAGCAAAATGAGCAAGAATTTTTAAACAAGAACAGTTAATAAGTAACTACTCAAATCAGTCTAGATTAACTATTTGTTTAGTCCATTTATGTACAATTGTTTAAAGACAAGAGTTGCAAATAATTTTGAATTTGTTCTTACTTTATCAATTTGGTCTGCTTTTGAAACATTTTAATTCTAATGTTCTTTTCATATCTAAAGAAAGCTATGGGAATCAAGGAGCAGGGCATCCTGCTAGCTTTTTCCAGGTTTAGAAGGAAAATAAGAGCTCAATATTTTCCTCATATAAGAATGCCCAAAACACATCTGAGTTCCTTGAGTAAGACAAGCCAATGCCCTGTACTATCTGAGAGAACTGTTTCAAACTCTCTCTTAAAGATAACATATATATTTGTAAACATTTCATCCAGTGGTCAAATGCCTTTGCACTGTAAGCTGTAGGAGAATGCACTGTAAATACCCCAAAGATTCCCCAAACAACTTTTCCCTAAAACAAAATCTTAATTCAGTTCTTCTCGGTGTTGGTGATAATTATGGTACTGGGGTCCCAAAGGAAGCTTTTAAGTGGTTATAAGTAGACAGAAAATAAACATGGAAAAGAACAATCACAGAAGTGATTATATGAAAAGAAGCATTAGGGCTGGGGTTGTAGCTCAGTGGTAGAGCACTTGCCTAGTATGTGTGAGGTATGTATGGGTTTGATTCTCAGCACTATACACACACACACACACACACACACACACACAGACACATATATGTGTATATATATTTTTTTTCCTCAGCACTATATATATATATACATATATATATATATATTCTCTCAGCACTGTATATATATGTTTATATATATTCTCAGCACTACATATATGTATATTTATAAATATACATATGTATAAATAGTCCATCATCAACTAAAAAAATTTTTTAAAGCATTAATAATCTAAACGAGTTTTGAAAGGAGCTATATTATATATTTGGTAACTATACAGAAACTGTGTAAATCTACATTTTTTGTTGTTGTTGTTGTTGTAGGTGGACAGAATACCTTTATTTTATTTATTTATTTATTTATTTATTTATTTATATGTGGTGCTGAGGATCAAACCCAGGGCCTCACACACACTAGATAAGCACTCCACCGCTGAGCCACAACACCAGCCCCAACTTCATAAATATAAAAATGTCTGATTACACAGGCATGCACATACACACAAAGAGTCAAAAGCCAAACCCAAAAAAATATTTGAAATTAACAACAGACTAAAGGAGTTAGTTATTAAATTGGAAAAGAAATTCTATAAACCAATAAAAAGTAAGCTAGTATATGAACAGATATTTGACAGAAAAGAAAATGCAAAGGAACATAAACATATAAAAATACATTCAACTTTAATTATAATGAAAAAAAGGCAACTACACTGACAGACTGTTTTCTCATCTATCAGACTGGCACTAAGTTTGATAACACATTCTATGGACAAGTATATGGTGAAATGGCACTTCCATACACTGACGGTGGGGAAAATATTGGTACAATCTCTCTAAAGCTACATGAGGAATTCCTCAAAATTATAAACACAGGCCCTTTCATCCAGCAGTTCTACTTCAAGTAGTTGACCCTAGAAACATACTTCATATATGTTATAAATTAAACATATACAACCCTTTTATTATAGCATTAATTTATGTAGTAGAAGAAATTGGAGAAAACTATATGTGCTTGAGCAGAAACCTTGCTAAATCAATTTTAATACATCCATACGATATCATCAGTACCAATACGGAAGCACTTAGAAGGAGTTCCAGAATGTATTAACACACACACACATGCACACACACAAAAGAACAAGCAGTTAAGATCAGTAAGATGTGTGGTAAGACCAAGACACACACACATACACAAACACACACACACACACACACACATATATTTTTGCTTGTATATGGATTATGCATGTATTTGGAAGAATATAAGAAAAGAGGTCAACTGAATAAAGAATATATGTGTGTTTTTATGTGTAGACTGTTTCTCAAAGAATACATAAGAAACTGGTAAGAAGAAGTAAGCAGCATGGGAGGAAATAGTGAGGATATAAATATCTCTAAAATTTTAAAACAATAAATTAGTATCCATTAACAAGATAAAATCAACTGATATTTATAGTGACCAAATTTTTACAATTACTTACTAAAAGTAAATGGAAGCCAAAACAATATAAACTGCAAATACAGAACATAAGCTTCTATATGAAAGAAAAGTTGAACTTGAAATTTAGCAAGGAAAGTTTTGGCTACTATTAGAGATTAAAAATAAACTGAGACAATGTCGAATATTTCTAATCTATCACTTCGACAGCGATGAATAAATAATAGCATGTCTTGTAACTGTTAATCAAACAGCGGCCTTTACTAAGTTAAGAAAAGGGGGCAAATGTTAGTTTTCATATTTATTCCAGAGTTTGCATCCTTCCAATAATATGATAAAAGAGGGAAAAAATTCTATCTTTCCTTGAAATAGGTACATTATATGTTAATTGTAGCAGCATGTTTTTCTATTCAAAACTGTCATCTTATTAACCATGCAAATGGTCCATGTGCTATTCAGATTCACTCTAGTTCCAATCAAAGAAAGAAGAGGTAGAAGAAATGTCTGGTCAAACAGTAAGGCAACTCACAAACACTTTTTAGAGAGAACATGATAATACTACTGAAACAAAAGAGAATACTACTGCAAGATATTAATAGTGTTTACTTATAAAAATTAAAAACAATATGCAGAGCTGTTTTAGCACTCTACCTATTGTAACAACAGTTCCAACTACTTGTATATGGATTATGCATGTATTTGGAAGAATATAAGAATATATGTTTTTCAAACTTTTATGCAAAAACATATAATCTGTATAATCTACAACTATGTTTTTCAAACTTTTATGCAAAAACATAATCAGAGAAATGAGAAAAAAACTCTGACAACATGTAAGTATAATTTAGTGGTAGGAATGAGGAGGTATGTCAGAAGTAGACTTCTGAACTCTGAATGCCTGCACCTTACCTTCTTCTGAAGAACATTAACCTTCCGCTCCTTCACATCCAGCATGTCCTTGAGGTCATGTATCTCTCCAGCTTGTGTCCCTTTCTCTTCAGCCATGTCCTGAATTTGTTTTGTCTTTTTATTCAGCATGGTTTCCTTTTCTTCCAAACGCAATCGGAGAGCATCCACCTAAGAATACACAATTTTTACAAGTTATTAACCGAAAAGAATATAACTCTTTTTGAATAGATATATTATAGATTATAAAAAGATTGAGTTTTATTATTTCTGTATAATCTACAACTATGTTTTTCAAACTTTACATACATCAGAGTCACCTCACTGATTAAAACAGATTGCCAGGTACACCCACCAAGGTTTCAGGGTGGAAGTTGGAAATTAGCACATAGACAAGTTTCTAAGTGCTATTACATTTCCTTAGGAAATCTAAAATTAGAAAGGAAACCAAAAGAATCACCAGATAACAAAATCTACCCAAAAGTTATGATGCTTTTAGGATAGCATCATGTGTTCTTATACATCTACACAAAGCAAAAACAAAGGTCTATTTTTCAGACACCAAGATTAACTAAGGTAAAGTCTGACACTGAGTTACCTCTATCCTTAAAGTTTAATAGCTGCCATTAGATATAACTTATTTATTGAGAAATCTAGTGATAATAATATTTATTTTAAAATCCATTTAAAGCAAATTTCATTAAGCTTTTAATATCCCATATATATTCACACACCAATTTTTTTTCCATCAAGGATTAAAACTTCAACAGGTATTTAATTGCAGAAAAACAGGAAGGTACACTTCTTTCAGCTAAGAGAGTGCTATTTTGAAAAAATATGAGTCATATTTACAAACCATTTTTAACCTCCTAATAGCTATATTAAAAAGGTTAAAAAGATAAAATTTTAATAACATTTTATCTAATATTTCTACAACACTGTCATTTCAAAATGAATCTGCATTAAAAACTATTCATGAGGGATCTTACATTCTTTTCTTATATTAAGTCTTCAAAGTCCAATGTGTATTTAACCTTTACATTACACATCACTAATCACTGCAAATCTTAAAGAGCAAGTTTGCTTCTGTAAAACATCTCTCATCTTTAACTTGCCCAATATTACTTTTACCGTGCTATACTTAGTTACTGTGTGTGTAGTAACCCATAAAGAAAAAGCAAGTAATATGAGTAATTATTCTTATTTAGAATATACTGAAGCTCTCAGGAAAGATCTAATATTGTATTTAAACTACAAGGCATCTGAGATATAGTACTGAGATATAGCATGATGGAACTGTTCAGAAGTGTTATGAAAAATTTCTAGGTGACTAGTCTCAAGTACTTACAGATTATGTTGGACTATCCTAGAAAGAAAAATAAACAGATAAACCACACTACATTACAAATGTAGTTGCTAAACTACATTATACAAGAATTTCTATGCCACTAGTCCCACCAAGCCAGAAGTTGGGGAGGATCTTTTTAGTTCTCATTTATAACTTTGCATCAAAGGTTTTACCTTGGGCATTCAATAAATACTCTTTCAGCTTTAATTTACCTCTACTTTACTTTAATAAAAGACATATAGTTAACTTTATTATAGTATGGAAAGACACCACTAACAATTTTCTAATTTTGATAATCTTTTTTCTGACTCACAAACACATATATGGTCATATGTATGCTTTTCCACCATATACACAACAGATTAAAAATCTTCAGAGTTCTATCCTTAGGCACTGTATTTTCTTCCTTTTCATTTTTCTTGCAGACAATTCTACACTCTACTATGGCACTTTAAAAATCTGGGACTTAAAAGCTAGAAAGAACAATGGCACACATCTATAATCCCAGAGACTCAGGAGATTGAGACAGTAAAATCGCAGATTCATGGCCAGCTTGAGACCTAAGCAGCTTAGCAAGATCCTGTCTCAAAGTAAAAATAAAAATTTAAGAAAAGGGTTCTGGATGTTGCTCAGGGGTAAAGTACTCCTGGGTTAAATCCCTGAAGGAAGAGGGATAGCACACAAGCTGGGACATAGATCTAAGAGAAGGTAGCAAGCACAAGATCTCAAAGCTACCAATAAGTATTTATAGCAGGGATTGTGGTCAACTGGGCTATCTCTAAATCCTCCACTCTCAACTAATTCTATAATATACTCCCTGCCGGGGAATTTAAAGCATAGTATTCCAGGCCCTCCATGATGCAGGGGTCCCATCTGACCAGCACTGCCTTATCTTTGTACTACACCTCCTCATTCCATTTGTAGCAATTCCTTGCTCTAGCGCCATACCTGTTCTCTGAATACATGCCATGCTTCTTATTTTACTTGTCATTCTTCACATTTTGTACTCTCTCACAGTACTAGAGGATAGAAATCTGACATCAAGGTTTTAGCAGGGCCATAATCTTAAGCCTGCCACCTTCTCTTATCTAAGTCTCATTTTTCTTAGGCCATCTGAGAGCTCTAAGGATAACTCTTTGTCTCTTCCTATCTTCTGTTGGCTCCTAGCAATCCTGGACCTGTAAATCCATCTGCAAAGACCCTAGCCAAATATGGGCACACTCAGATTTGGGTAGACATGAATCAATGGAGGTACTATTATCCTATTATCCACTATCCCTATTACTACAAAACGCTCTAAAATGCTAAACTTACTTTTAAATTAATAGTTGAGAACATATACAAACTGACACACAGACACAAAATCATTGAATGCTGAAAATTAGACCAGAAATCCAAAATGGTTTGCTTACAAAGAAGTTTTGCCTGCCATCCTGCTTATTCCTTTACTTATTGCTGTGTCCTAAAGGACATGGTTTTGAAGACGCCTCAGAGGACAGAAAACAAGACAGGGCAACACAAAGGAAGGCTAGAACAAAAAAAAAACAAAATTACAAGCCTTCACTGGGCAACTGCCCTGCTTTTGGATGATCCTCAAGCATCTCGGTACTCTCAACACTCTTTTATAGCACTCACTCTAAATACCCCCCTTTGGTTTCAAGACTCCTTGACACTCTTAGAAATTATTGAAGCTGGGCACAATAGTACATGCCTGTAATCCCAGTGAATCAGGAGGCTGAGTCAGGAATATGGCAAGTTGGAGGCCAGCCTCAGCAACTTAGTGAGACCCTATCTCGAAATTTAAAAGTTCAATGGTAAAGTATCCCTGGGGTCAATTTCCAGTCCAAAAAAAAAAWATATATATATATATATATATATAGAAGACCCAAAGATCTTTTGTTTATATAAATAATTCTTTTTTTAATATTTATTTTTTAGTTGTAGTTAGACACAATATGTTTATAGTATTTATATGTGGTGCTGAGGATCGAACCCACGGCCTCACACACGCTAGGCGAGCGCTCTACCCCTGAGCCACAACCCCAGCCCCTCTGAGTTATACTTATCAATATTTTTAAATTATTTATTAATTTAAAATGAGTCCATTATGTAAGTTAAAATAACACATTATAATGGGGGGGCCACTATATTCACAAAAAAAAACAGTTAAAAAAAGCATGACTGTTTTCAATTTTTGCAAATATATTTAGTGTTTGGGGAAGGGGGTACCTAAGACTAAATGTAGTTTTTATATCATCTAACAAAATTTAAACAGATCCAAAAGAACTAAACTATTTCAAAGTAATTTATTCACATCACATAATAAAGTTCAATATTATTTATAAGAATACATGAACGCCCAGCACCCAATGATGTAAAACTCATAATGCCTAGCACCCAATCCACAATTACCTGATTTGCAAACACACTGGAATGTACAACTCATAATGAGAAGAAAAGTCATTCAGTGAAAATTGATCCAGAAATAACATAGAGGATAGTTTGATGTTACTAACTTGGAATCTAAAAAAGCTGAACTCACAGAAACAAAGAGTCAAATGGTGGTCACCAAGAGAAAAAGATGGGAGTAGGGAGAGGAAATAGGGAGATACTAATCATAGGGTACAAATTTCAGTCATAAGGATAAAAATTTTCTAGGGATCTAATGCACACCACGATGATTACAGTCAATAATACTGTATTACATATTTGAAATTTATTTAAATATTATCACAAGGGAAAAAAGCTTGCTATGTGAGATGACAGATGTGTTAACTAACTTGATTATAGTAATTATTTTACAATATATACATTGATTAAAGCATCACACTTTATGCCTTAAATATATAAAGTTGTATTTGTGGAATATGTCTCAAGAAAGATGGGAGAGAGAAATTAGTAGGACTTACAATTCAATGTTAGACATAAAAATATTTTAAAAACCCAGATCAACTAAAGATGAAAACGTCAATGTTTGAGGTGAAAAATATACTGGGTGAGATTAATGACAGATATAAGACATTACAGAAGAAAATTTTAATAATTTTTCTTTTTTTAATTAAAATGTTTTTATTTTACTTCTTTTTATTTATTTATTATTTATATGACAAGGAATGCCTTACAATTCTTATTACACATACAGTGCACAATTTTTCATATCTCTGGGTGTATTCACAGTATATTCACACCAATTCATGTCTTCATACCTGTACTTTGGATAATAATGATCATCACATTCCGCCATCATTTCTAACCCCATGTCCCCTCCCTTCCCCTCCAACTCCTCTGCCCTATCTAGAGTTTTGTCTATTCCTCCCATGCTCCCTTTCCCTATCCCACTATGAATCAGCCTCCTTATATCAAAGAAAACATTCGGCATTTGTTTTTTGGGATTGGCTAACTTCACTTAGCAATATCTTCTCTAACTCCATCCATTCAGCTGCAAATGCCATGATTTTATTCTCTTTTAATGATGAGTAATATTCCATTGTGTATATATGCCACTTTTTTTTTATCCATTCATCTATCGAAGGGCATATAGGTTGGTTTCACAGTTTAGCTATTGTGAATTGTGCTGTTATAAACACTGATGTGGCTGTGTCCCTGTAGTATGTTGTTTTTAAGTCCTTTGGGTATAGACTGAGGAGAGAGATAGCTGGGTCAAATGGTGGTTCCATTCCCAGATTTCCAAGGAATCTCCATACTGTTTTCCATATTGGCTGCACCAATCTGCAGTCCCACCAGCAGTGTATGAGTGTACCTTTTTTCCCCACATCCTCACCAACACTTATTGTTGTCTGTATGCATAATAGCTATCATTCTG